GCAGGATAAACCAAAGGAGAAACATGCTGAGACACATAGTAATCAAATTGACAAATATTAAAGACAAAGAAAAATTATTGAAGACAAGGGAAAAACAACAAATAACATACAAGGGAACTCCCATAAGGTTAACAGCTGATTTCTCAGCAGAAACTCTACAAGCCAGAAGGGAGTGGCATCAGATATTTAAAGTGATGAAAAGGAAGAACCTACAACCAAGAGTACTCTACCCAGCAAGGATCTCATTCAGATTTGACAGAGAAATCAAAAGCTTTACAGACAAGTGAAAGCTAAGAGAATTCAGCACCACCAAACCACCTTTACAACAAATGCTAAAGGAACCTCTCTAAGTGGGAAACACAAGAGAAGAAAAGGACCTACAAAAACAAACCCAAAACAATTAAGAAAATGGTAATAGGAACAAAAATATCGATAATTACCTTAAACGTGAATGGATTCAGTGCTCCAACCAAAAGACACAGGCTCGTTGAATGGACACAAAAACAAGACCCATATATATGCTGTCTACAAGAGACTCATTTCAGACCTAGGGACACATACAGACTGAAAGTGAGGGGATGGAAAAAGATACTCCATGCAAAAGGAAATCAAAATAAAGCTGGAGTAGCATTACTCATATCAGATAAAATAGACCTTAAAATGAAGTATGTTACAAGAGACAAGGAAGGACACTACATAATGATCAAGGGATCAATCCAAAAAGAAGATATAACAATTATAAATATATATGCATCCAACATAGGAGCACCTCAATACATAAGGCAACTGCTAACAGCTATAAAAGAGGAAATTGACAGTAACACAATAATAGTGGGGGACTTTAACACCTCACTTACACCAATGGACAGATCATCCAAACAGAAAATTAATAAGGAAACAGAAATTAAGGAAACACTCCCATTTATAACTGCAGCAAAAAGAATAAAATACCTAGGAATAAACCTACCTAGGGAGACAAAATACCTGTATGCAGAGAACTATAAGACACTGGTGAAAGAAATTAAAGATGATACAAACAGATGGAGAGATATACCATGTTCTTGTATTGGAAGAATCAATATTGTGAAAATGACTATATTGCCGAAAGCCATCTACAGATCCAATGCAATATCTATCAAATTACCAATCGCGTGTTTTACAGAACTAGAACAAAAAATCTTAAAATTTGTATGGAGACACAAAGACCCCAAATAGCCAAATCAGTCTTGAGGGAAAAAAATGGAGCTGGAGGAATCAGACTCCCTGACTTCAGACAATAATACAAAGCTACAGTAATCAAGAAAATATGGTACTGGCACAAAAACAGAAATATAGATCAATGGAACAGGATAGAAATCCCAGAGATAAACTCATGCACCTATGGTCAACTAATCTGTGACAAAAGAGGCAAGGATATACAATGGAGATAAGACAGTCTATGCAATAAGTGGTGCTGGGAAAACTGGACAGCTACATGTAAAAGGATGAAGTTAGAACACTCCCTAACACCATACACAAAAATAAACTCAAAATGGATTAGAGACCTAAATGTAAGACTGGGCACTATAAAACTCTTAGAGGAAAACATAGGAGGAACATTCTTTGACATAAAACACAGCAAGATCTTTTTTGATCCACCTCCTACAATAATGGAAATAAAAACAAAAATAAACAAATGGGACCTAATGAAACTTAAAACCTTTTGCACAGCAAAGGAAACCATAAACAAGAAGAAAAGACAACCCTCAGAATGGGAGAAAATATTTGCAAACAAATCAACAAAGGATCAATCTCCAAAATATATAAACAGCTCATGTAGCTCAATATTAAAAAAACAAAACAACCCAATCCAAAAATGGGCAGAAGACCTAAATAGACATTTCTCCAAAGAAGACATACAGATGGCCAAGAAGCACATGAAAAGCTGCTCAACATCACTAATTACTAGAGAAATGCAAATCAAAACTACATGAGGTATCACCTCACACCAGTTAGAATGGGCACCATCAGAAAATCTACAAACAGTGCTGGAGAGGGTGTGGAGAAAAGGGAACCCTCTTCCGCTGTTGGTGGGAACGTAAATTGATACAGCCACTATGCAGAATAGTATGGAGGTTTCTTAAAAAACTAAAAATAGAGCTACCATATGACCCAGCAATCCCACTACTGGCATATACCCAGAGAAAACCATAATTCAAAAAGACACAGGCACCCCAATGTTCACTGCAGCCCTATTTACAATAGCCAGGTCATGGAAGCAACCTAAATGCCCATCGACAGATGAATGGATAAAGAAGATGTGGTACATATATACAAGGGAATATTACTCAGCCATAAAAAGAATGAAATTGGGTCATTTGTAGAGATTTGGATGGATCTAGAGACTGTCACACAGAGTGAAGTAAGTCAGAAAGAGAAAAACATATATCGTATATGAATGCATACATGTGGAACCTAGAAGAATGGTACAGATGAACCAGTTTGCAGGGCAGAAATAGAGACACAGAGGTAGAGAACAAACGTATGGATACCATGGGGGGACAGTGGGGGGGGGGGGTACGGGTGGTGGTGTGATGAATTGAGAGATTGGGATTGACATATATACACTAATATGTATAAAATGGATAACTAATAAGAACCTGCTGTATAACAACAACAACAAAAGAAATATAATGGAAATATTTTATCAAGCCACCTACTCTAAAGGAAAATTTGACGAAAAGCAAACACAATACCTTGAAAATCATATATGGGGGTTTAGAAATTGGAGGCTTAAGAGGATTTCATTACAAGGTATTTCACCCCTGAGGGCTCCCATGATACGGAGTCCCAAGTACTTACAGTAAGACTCCATTGTATTAGTAAAGGTAGCACAATGAATATATATATTTTTTCTCTTTTTCACATTCAATGGTTTTTTATCTTATCAAATGTGAGCAACTTAACTCGAGTTATCTTTTAGTCAGTATAAAAAAAGTGTGGATATATGTATATGTATAAATGATTCACTTCGCTGTACAGCAGAAACTAACACAACATTGTAAATCAACTATACTCCAATAAAAATTTAAAAACAAAACGAAAATAACACACAAAAGAAAAACTCATAATTACATATACCTTATTTCTTGGATCTGATGCCATTTGCTAAACACATTATAACTTCTTTAAACTCCATCTGAGATGCCATAGTATTAATGCTTATTGTATAGATTAGCCATTTTACATTTTTTGGTCATGCTTTTATTATATGTAATTATTTATATCAAGAAATATAATTTGATATTGAATCACTATGTTGTACCCCTGAAACTAATATAATATTGTAAATCAACTATATTTCAATAAGAAATACAATTTGACCCATGGCTAGCCAAACCTGTGTAACAATGAGCCATATTATAATATACTTACAATTTCAAGGAAGAAGAATAACGTGGTAAGCAGAAAGCATTTACAGTCAGACATATCTAACTGAATTCCAACTTTGCAAACCCTCTTTAGCTGTACAGCCATTGATAATTAACCTCTATGAGCCTCAGTTTCCTTGTTGACAATGGTAATGTTTAGAGACATTAATGGGAATGGGGATGGTAGCATCAGAGACAACATAAATGTATGTAAAGTGCATAGAATATTGCCTGCCATACACAGGGGCTTAAAACATATTAGTCCTCTTTTTTAGTATATAATAAGAAAAGGAAAAAACAATTGAAATGTTCTAGGTGGAGAACCTGAACTAATAGATGGCCCCCTGAAAGCAAGAGCCCAATATGGGTGTCTAAACTTGTGAAGGAGCAAACAGGAAATACTAGAATCCTCAATATCATAAGGCAGAAATGAGATTTAACTGCCTCTTGGCCTGCCTAATACTTACCTCCACAAAAAGAAGCCTTGAACGCTCTATTCTGGATGTAATCTCCAGAGTTTCCTTTGGGTCGCAGTGGTTTGTTTCTAGTTTTAAAGACAGTCAAATATGAAGCCAAAGAATAAGGCTCCTAGACCTGGGGCATGCCATCTGCCTAGCATTAAGCAAGAGCTGAAGTCAGTTACAGAAGCAAAGTCATTTCTAACATGATTTATGTTCCGTCCTTGAACGTGGCAGGAAGACTGCAAAAGATATTTGGAAGCCAATGCTTCCTGTGAATAAAGTAAACGAGTATATGCTAAGCCCCTCTCCCTGGACCATGCTGGCCTGTTAGAGAAGTTGCCAATGCAGAGTCTATGAACCCTGGAGCAAACCGACTATTCGGGATGAGAAAATATCTCCAGGGCAATGATCATTGCTACTGTAAACGTACAGAGCACAGTACGGCACCAGGGTCAGACGACAGATATCCAGGATATTACTCAAAAACACATCTAGCTCAAAGCTGACAAGATAATCTGTTCCTGTGAGTACAAAGCAGGCTGGAATGCTGCAGCCATGACCTACACAAGGAAAGAAAAAAGAAAGTGCAACTCTCCAAGGGCTCCAACTCAAGCTCTTTATGCAGGCAAAACTCCAAGGGACTTCAAAGGGAGTGTTGCTTATGGAAAGAGCGCTGAACCAAGCCCACCGGGGGTATCACTTCCACGATCATGTTGCCATCTACATTTCGTGAACTGGCAAATGCAAATATTTCAGATACAAGCTTAAACGAATGAAAAAAGAAGTGTGAAAGAGCTTGAGGGTTTGCTCGCAAAGAAACCTCAGTATTCCAGGAAAAGCATTTAATATCAGGAGCTTCATAAGTTATTCCAAAATTCCCAAGACAGTAATTGGTTTGTGATCGTATTAGAAATAAAAGGTTTTTTTTAATTGACACATATTGCACTCCTACATATCACATGATCACAAAACAGTATACTTAAAAACTAATGTCCCACAGTTAAATACTCTTAAAAAGGTCAGCCACATTTTTCTAATTGAAATATAGAGTATATTTTGATGTTTTAACAGTTTTAACATACGTGATTTGGTTAACGTAGAGGAGCCAGAATGCAGCAAATATACTTACAGGAGGACCTATGATGGGGGGAGAGTAGACAGAATAAGAAAAAGAGAGAGACAAATTAGTGAATCTACAAATAGTAAGATTTAATAAAAGATTAGAACATCATAATAGTCATCAGCACAATACAAGAGACATAGAAATCACTTAAGAATTTAGTGCCTCTCAGTCATTTTTTAGACCATGAACCTATTATGAGACCATATCAGAAAAATGCATTGACATCTATGTACACACAAAATTTTATGTAAAATTTCAGAGAATATTCCCTGAGGACTGTTTGTGAATTACTCAGAAGTTCATATATTTTAAGAAAAGACTGTCTAATTTATACACCTAAAAAGTTAGATAAAATATGAATTAGGAAGAGCGTTAGTCATTTATGATAGACCAGTTGTAGACAATTGATACATAAATTTCTTGAGTTTGGTAAAATGGCTAAATCAGAAAGGTACCTGCTATTTGTTCTAAGAATGTTTATCTTTCAGTAGTATTGTCAATATATAAAAGACCAAGTCCTGATGTTTATGTAAGTTTCTTTAAAACTATGTATTCTCATCAAAACACAGGCAAAGTCTAAGAAAATTTCAATATTTCGCACACCATATGTTCAATTAAAGCACCAGTTCTCAGTAGCCAAGAAGTTGGGAATTGATTTTTATATTTTCTGTAAAACTGCATAAGTACAAAATTTTCACTATTTTTTCCTAATCCTCTTTCTTTCTTTCGACACAAAGATCAATTCAGTGATTATTTGGGTCCACCAATGTTTTATCATTTCTTTTTCCTCAAAAACATTTATAAAGCCTCCTCTATTTTAAAACTTTGCACTCGATGAAAGGGATACCTATACAATTTTCCAGTTACTTAGCGTGAATGAGGTTTAAAAATAACTTTTGATAATTCTCTTAAAGGAATTAAGCAGCTATGTTTTCATAAAACCCTTTTTACTTTGACATCATATTTCCAAAAGGGAGAGGAAATGAGACAAAAAATATCAATCTGCCGTCTGCTCTTTTTGATAGGTTAGTATTTCTATTTTTTAACTCCTAGTAGATTGTTTTTAATATTAATAAATACTTGTAGAAAATGCTGGAAAACAGCATTTCTTAGTACACTAAAATCAAACCTTAAATTACCTTCCTCTTATCTTGCAAGGAAGAATTGATGTCCTGTTAAGACTTCACATTTACGTTTACATTTTTGGAGCCTGAGACTTTATAAAACTAGTAAAACCATAAGTGAACACACTCATTTGAATATCTGGATTTCAGAAAAAAAAAGTTTTTGTTTGAATTTGCATATAGGGATTTGGCCTGAAAGCAAAAAACAAAACAAAACAAAAATCACTAAAATGGGTGTCAGGACAACTGGCTGTGCTTCTAGTTCTGCTCATAAAAAATTGCATGGCTTTGGCTGAACCACCTGACTGCTCTGGGTCGCCATTTCCTCAACTATAAAATGAAAACTCTGGATTGATTACTAAAGTTCCTGTCATCACTAAAACTCTATGGTTATACAAGAGGAATAAAAATTCTTAAACTGTGAAAAGAATGAGAGTTAAAGCATGACAAAATTTTACCAGTTGGATAAAATAATCAGGTTTCCAGGACATGTGCCCCAGTGTCCCAAGGCAGATGTTTCCGCAGAGAGTGTGCATTGACTGACCACCTATGTAGGTGGAAAGATGGGTGATGCTGTCATACTGCATGTGGCTAAGAAACCCCCTCTGCTGTACACTGAAAGGGCAGATTTAACTTGACACAGTAAATAAGCCAAAATTGGGTGCCAGGGGTTAGTAAACTGTAATTAATAATATTTTGCAAACTTCTCCTTCCTACTGTTTGATGGAAATAAGAAGATAAAAAAAAATTCTATGTGTAGCAGAGAAGATATAAACATCTCACAAACACACACACACACACACACGCATGCGCGCATGCACACAACAGCCAACAGAACAATATAATTACTAATTAGGAGGAACAGATGTGGGAACCTAGCCAGAACATGAATGACACAGAACAGCTGAAAGAGAGACTTACCAGATTCTCCTCTTCGGCCCCTTTTACCTCGTTTCCCCGGAGGGCCTGAAATAAAAAGAACAGTTTTTGGAATTTTTGGTTCCAAAATGGCTAGTAAATGATTTCTATATATCTTGTCACTGTTTTTAACTAACATGAAAAGGACCAGAGATCTGTAAAGGCCAACTCTGCCTCTGGCATTTCAGCATAACTGTTAAGCTTCATTTAATTATAAAAGCTGTCCTAGATCTCTAACCAGCTAATGTTACTTAGAAACACTAAAGATTCAGAATTTGTGTTCATCCTGCCCGGGTATCATCAGTAAGAAAGGGTTTGCTAAGCAAACTGGTGGTGTTGAGATTTCATGTTTCTTAGGAAAGTTTCTTTTCTGAAGGTTTCAGCATATTAATAATTAAAAGTACTAAGCACAAATGATTACAGTTTCTCTTCAGTCAGGTTCCTCATGCTTCTCTTGAAAATATTTAGTTGGCAGTAAATTAAACATATATATTAATAATGTAAATAATCTTTACAAATATTTCTATTTTATTAAATGTGAATTTTCATCTATTGGAATTTCTCTAATTAAGAACCAGCTGAGTTAAAATCACAACGCTTTTAATTGGAAAGTGTTTAGGTAGTAAGTATTGGTCTCATTTTTCTAAGGGGCTAGCTCATTATTGTCATTCAATAAATGTTGAGTCTTTACGGTGATCTCATTTTAAAAGTGAAGAAATAACCTTCTTTTTCAGTGAGTTCCCTATGAAGACCACCAAGCCAATATGTGTCAGACTTGCACAAGTTTCTAGACGTTCATGGTTTTCAAGCCATTATTCTCAACCATGTAATTTCTGCCCTCATTTCCTTGGTTAGGAATAGCTCCCACTGAATTATGATCCCAGCAAATAGAAGAGAATAATTAGCCCACAGTGAGAATTGAGGTCTTAAAATATTTGCTGGGAGAAAGAGGCCAAGGAAAATACAGAACTGCTTGGTTTTGAAGAATGAGTTGCAAAGTTGGACTGATGACTTCTAAACTCTAGAAAGTTCAAGGCACAGGCCTTGGCACCCAGTTGACTCTTAACGTGATCCTGAGCTACCGACTTCCATATGGAAACACTATCACGAGAAATAGAAACATCAGTGGGCCAGGTTAGTTTCCCTGCAAGCCCTTAAACAGAGTAAGTCTGGCCATCTGTGTTTTGTAAGAGGTTAAAAACAATCAAGCAATAAAATCAATTGAAAATATTAGGAGAAGCGGCTTTGTAGCAGAATCCAAAATTGTCATTCGAAATTTCAGGTTTCCTTCTGTGTTCTGAAATAAAGAGAGATTTTCATCACACTCAAGTTATCCTTGGCCAGACTGAGAGCAGAAGGAGAATCATATAAATAGGTAAATAAACCCAGTGGAATCCTAATAGGTATGAAAAATATACATTTATATACATGCTCAAACATACACAGACACAGGTATATATTGAAAAATTCTGATATATAATATACAATGTCCTTTGGATTAGGAATCAGATTTTTTTATATTACAAAATTACTATAAGAAGTGTTTAGCAACAGCTAGATACTTATGATGTCTGTGGTCTGCACAGTAGGGACTATAGGTCATGTATAAGACGTATATCTGCTCTGAAGAAGCAAAGAAGTTGAAAAGACTAAAATAACACACATGAAAAATTTGTTAGTAGTATATGTTGTGAAGGCGGCACAATGAGTTTGTGCTCTGATTTGTTCCTTCTACTCTAAACACATGGTCAGTTATAAAAAGAGAAAAACATTTAAAAGTATTTGCATTCAAAAAAGACATGGGCATGTCCACAGGCCAGAAATGTACCAGAACTGGAAAGTGGAGAGCAGGGATAAACTATGAGCTTGCCTGGCTCTGGTTCTAGAAGTAGAAATGGTGGCTATGGGTTCTATCCCTGAAGAATAAATACTCAAAAGTTCTCTCATCAGATTCAGACTTACTTCTTAAAGCTGGGGGCTTATAAATGCTAAAGAGAAGTTTAAAAAAATCGAGATCTCTGGCTTAAAGGCTGGGGAATATAGATATAAACTCTCAATCAGAAAACGAAGTAAGCATCTGCTGGTTGGATGCCTGATTCTGTGCTATTCCAAACAGAAATCTGCGACAAGAGTCCTGAAATGTCATTTGAAGACAGCTCTGGTCTAGAAAGCTGGGAGGTCAGGTAAAGACAGACATAAAATGATTAGGTAAGAAAAGGTGAGCATAGAGGAAAGAAAGGCAGACACACACAGAGAGAAAACTACACACACACACACACACACACACACACACACACTAAAAACCTCCTACTCACAATGAGTATAGAAGTCAAAGTTCCAAAACATATGAAGAAATCTAATGCTAAGAAAGGTAGCACTAAATAATAAGATCATGAATTCTTCCTAGGTAAAATTAATTAATTTTAAGAAACCATCAGATGAAGATTAGTATGTTAATTATGCTTTAAGAGATAAATGAAGAAGTAATACCCATTAAAGAGCAAGGGATTTTGAATGTAAACAAGGAAAAAAAAGAACAAGTGGATAGGAAAGAGAACCCTTTAGAAATCTTGAAAATGTCATTGAAATTTAAAAAAAAGATGAATCAGTTAAATGCTAGCCTGGGTATGGTTGAAGAAGGAACAGTTATGGAAGATGTAGAATGCAGCCCAGAGAGACAGATCGAGTATCTATCTATGTATCTGACTATCCACTGTAGTCTGAATGTACATGTCCTGCAAATTCACAGGTTGAAATTCTAACTCCCAAAGATGATAATTTTGGGAGTGGGGTCTTTGGGAGTTGCTTAAATCATGAAGCTGGAGACCTAAAGAATGGGGCTTATAAAAAAGACCCCACAGAGACCCTTAGCCCCTTCCACTATGTGAGGACACAGTGAAAAGACACCAGCTATGAACCAGGAAGAGGGCCCTTACCTGAAGGTGACCATGCCGAAACCTTGATCTTAGATGTCCCAGCCTCTTGAACTGTGAGAAATAAATTTTTGTTGTTTATAAGCCACCCAGCCTGTGGTATTTTGTTATAGCAGCCCAAACAGAATGACTCTATCTACTATCTATCTATCTATCTATCTATCTATCTATCTATCTATCATCTATCTGTCTGTCTATGTATCTATGTATCTATCTATCCATCTATGTTAAGAAGAAAATTTTTACTTATAAAAGAACTCAAAAGAAATGATAGAGAAGACTTTGTTTAAGAGATAATAGATGAGAATATTCTAGAATTGAACTTAGGAGACCTAAGATTGAACTTATACTCCAAGTGGCAAGTAAAAATAAATCACACTTAAACACAAAGGAGAAACTTAGAAATATTCATGGATAAAGAGAAAATGTTAAGAACTACCAGTGGGAAGATTACAATGGAAGATACCTAACTGACCGCTGTCTCATCCACAACAAAGGTGCCAGAGGGCCCAGAACTGATTTTTAGGAAAAGCCTTAGAAACCTATAATTATGTTTGTTTATTGGAATTAGTTTGTCACTTTCCTCCAGAAGAATATTCCTTTTAAATAGTAGAAGCTATCAAGTAAAAACAATAGATTACATAAATGTTTAAAAATGATTTAAAATAAACTTTTTTTTTTTTTTTGTGGTATGCGGGCCTCTCACTGTTGTGGCCTCTCCCATTGCGGGGCACAGGTTCCGGACGTGCAGGCTCAGAGGCCATGGTTCACGGGCCCAGCCGCTCCACGGCATGTGGGATCCTCCCAGACCGGGGCACGAACCCGTGTCCCCTGCATCGGCAGGCAGATTCCCAACCACTGCGCCACCAGGGAAGCCCTAAAATAAACTTTTAAAAAATTTAAAGCATATCAGATTATAAAAAATGATCAATGAAGCAATGATATTTTTGAAGAAACCAAGAAACAAAGTTAAAGGGATTCCCTGGTGGTCCAGTGGTTAGGACTCAGCCCTTCCACTGCCGTTGGCCCAGGTTCAATCCTGGTTAGGGAATGAAGATCTTGTAAGCCACGCCAAAAAAAAAAAAAAGGAACATGTCTGCCTTAAATATTCAATTTAAGAAATGAATCAAATGCTGTGGGAAATTTGCTCATTATATTGAGAGTTGAGAAAAAATAAAATCTATGGAAACTGAAAAGATACTTGGTAAGACAGATATCTATTGAATATGACAAGGTTTTCCAAAGAATTTCATAATATTTGAGAGAAAAAATTAAGCTAACCTAAGTTATGAGAAGATGGGAATCCAAACCCTATTGGATTTACAAAGAAAATACTTGATTTGAGAAGAGCATGTTATAATTGCTATAAGAAACAGAAGACTGAAGTGAGCATTATATTGAGCTTGTGAACTAATAAATTATACAAAACTCGCAGTAACACATAAAGATCTTGCTTACAAAGAAAATAATAGAAGTTTTGAAAAAGTCTACTGTGCAGATGAGATAATTTGATATCACTCCTGAATTTAAAGGCAAAAATAATTTAAAAATTATATACATGGGATGAATTTGATAATGGGCAGCTGGCGGATCACCAGAGTGAAAAAGAAGAAAAGACAAATGATAGATATTTCCCAGACAAAACTGATGTTAACAATAGCTAACAGTAGCTGAAAAAGATATTCCCATATATACAATGGAATATTACTCAGCCATAAAAAGAAAGGAAATTGAGTTACCTGAAGTGAGGTGGATGGACCTAGAGTCTGTCATACAGAGTGAAGTAAGTCAGAAAGAGAAAAACAAATACCGTATGCTAACGCATATATATGGAATCAAAAAAAAAAAAAAGGTACTGATAAACCTAGTTGCAGGGTAGGAATAAAGATGTAGACATAGAGAATGGACTTGAGGAAACAGGGTGGGAGGGGGAAGCTGGGGTGAAGTGAGAGTAGCATCGACATATATACACTACCGAATGTAAAATAGATAGCTAGTGGGAAGCAGCAACATAGCACAGGGAGAGCAACTCAGTGCTTTGTGATGACCTAGAGGGGTGGGGTAGGGAGGATGGGAGGGAGGGGATACGGGGACATGTGCATGCATGTGGCTGAT